AAAATTATTGGTCATCCAATCTTTTACATTTTTAACACACTCTGTTAGCTTAGATAATTTAGAAGTTTCATCTGGTCTTGTTGAGATATATAGTTGAGTATCATCAGCATAACAGTGGAAACTAATCCCGTATTTTCTGATAATATTACCAAGGGGCAACATGTATATTGAAAATAGCAGAGGACCTAGGACAGATCCTTGTGGCACTCCATATTTTACTGGTGATAATTGAGATGACTCCCCATTTAGTCATTTGTAATTTTAACAAGTGCAGTTTCTGTGCTATGGTGGGGCCTGAAGCCTGACTGAAATTCTTCATAGAGATTATTATTAATGCGCTATATATTATACTATATAATGCACTACTAATGCACTATATATTAGTGCATTAGTATACCATATAGTGGTGCAAATTAGTGCTGTAAGAGTAGTAATATGTACTCTTATGGTACTGTTATGAACACTTTAGGGGTTAAGAAGGTACAAAGGTTCCCCAGTGACCAGATGTTGTACCCCTAAAGTTTTTTTTGCATTATTGTTTCCCACTCTGAGAGTGTATGTTGCATATGCATTATGTTGTGGTTTAATCTAAATATTTCCACCTGACCATCTTTTGTTTTTTCACCTTACTCCTTGTTCAAGCACAAATGCACATGCACCACAAACATAAGAGCTTCTCTGCTGCATGGGCAGGTTGGGAGTAAAAAAGCCCAAGGCTGTGCTGTGCAGCACCTTGAACCACACACACACATTTTTTCTTTAGCACATAATGGTTTATCACATACAGACACTCAGAGGATGCATACAACACACACACTGCAGTGTTGTACACATCTGCTTATGTGCTGCAGTCTAGTGGTATCGCTACGTTTCCCACAGCAGAATTACCTTTCTTTTACTGCAGTACAGTGGGCATCTGTGGACCTAAACATCTGTTATTCACCATACTTTCAGATGAGTTTGACATGAGAGTTTGAAATTGTTCCCTTTGAGTGAACATAGTTTAATTTAAGACATTATGCCTGTAAATATTGGGAAATTCTGATATTGTTCCTCATTGTTTTCACCATATAGCTTTTTATATTTTGTATCACTTTAAAATAATAACTGAAAACTGTTATACACTGTAGAAAATGTTAGTAAAAAGTTGCCTTATTATTATAATCTTACCATATACTGTAAAATATATTAAATTATTTTTTTTACAAAAATACATGTCTTTTAAAATACATTTTATATTTAATATTTTTTAAACCATAAATAAACATTTACAGTAAAAGTATGTTGTTCAAATGTTTTTAGAAGTAAAAAAGTGTGCATTGCATTGCAATAAGAGACATTCCCTCTGCTAATAATTTCAATTTAGTTTGTATTTAAATGTTTCTAATTATTTTTGTTAACAGTTATGTACATTAGGTTCTTTTGTGTTGCAGTTTATGTTGTTTATGTAATGCATGTTGCATTATTTTAGTGTCTTGTGTATATATACAGTAAAAGTATGTTGTTCAAATGTTTTTAGAAGTAAAAAAGTGTGCATTGCATTGCAATAAGAGACATTCCCTCTGCTAATAATTTCAATTTAGTTTGTATTTAAATGTTTCTAATTATTTTTGTTAACAGTTATGTACATTAGGTTCTTTTGTGTTGCAGTTTATGTAATGCATGTTGCATTATTTTAGTGTCTTGTGTATATATAAATTATTAGTAAAAGGGTTCCTTACCATATTCTGTAAAAATATATTTTACAAAAAAATACATGTAATTTTATTGTAAAGGTATGATTTCAATATATTTTCTACTATATATATATATATATATATATATGTGTGTGTGTGTGTGTGTGTGTGTATTTAAGACCATACATATACTTTTACAGTAAAATATATTGTTTATATTATTTTTTTTTAATTTGAGAAAACTATATTGTAAATATATATGTGACCCTGGACCACAAAAATAGCAATAGCTATTACATTTTATTCATATTAATACATTGTACGGGTCAAAATTATTTGATTTTTCTTTTCTGCCAAAAATCATTAGGTTATTAAGTAAAGATCATGTTCCATGAAGATATTTTGTAAATTTCCTACCATAAATATATCAAAACGTAATTTTTGATTAGTAATATGCTTTGATAAGAACTGCATTTTGACAACTTTAAAAGCGATTTTCTCAATATTTAGATTTTTTTTTTGCACCCTCAGATTGCAGATTTTCAAATATGTTGTATCTCAGCCAAATATCGCCCTATCCTAACAAACCATAGATCAATGGCAAGCTTATTTATTCAGCTTTCAGATGATGTATACAGAAATCTTCCGAAAATTGACCCTTACTGGTTTTGTGGCCCAGGGTCACATACAGTGTATATACATTTAATAATTTCAGGTATCCAATCACTTTATGTACCAATCAATCAATCAATCACATGTACCACAAGAAAGTACTTATAAGTAAGCACGTATGCATTTTAGTTTTGGTCGTTTAGGGAACAATCTGCTAATTAAATGTTAAATTCTCCGTATCTGACTCACATGCCTTCACCGACAAATGCAGACCTAAAACTAACCGTGACCTTATTGAGCCTCATCAGCGTCAAACTACATGAGTGAAAGTCTCTCTTCTGTCATCCCATCCCCATTCAGCCAAATCACCGCAGTGCTGAAAGAGTGAGAGAGCGAGAGAGAGGGAGAGAACACGCGTGTGTGGAGTGTGTGTTAGTGTGTGAAAGAGCGAGTGAGGTAGAGAGAGAGGAAAACTGCAAAATCTGTCAAGGTTTCCAGGCGTTCGCTCATTCCTCTCGACGCCTGTGCAGCGCTGACTCGGGTCGCGTGCTGGACGGTGAGTGCTCGCGCTCTTCGTTCTTCATGCACGTTACCGTCGCCTTAGTGGCGCGTGATTACACAGCATAGTTTGAAGTCCGAGAGATCGATTCGTTCCGGTGCTTTCGAGCCAAGTATGACAGAATCAGTCAGTTCATATCTTATAGTCCTTGCATGTGAGTATATCGACTGCGGACCACGTAATATAGCTAGTGAAACGCTAATTTAATGTTGCTGTATTTATTTCTTTTTAATTATTTTAGATGTGAGTTTTGTATCGTCTATTTTTAGACTCCTAGTCAGGTAAGAGTATAGGCTCGTGTCGTGGCGGGACTGGTACTGTATGTGTCATGGATGTTGTACATTTCTCTAGTGCTGACTTTGGTAACGCCACGAGGAAAGAGTGTACTGCGGTTGTGGGGATTTGAGAAGGGGTAGTCACGCTGTTTGTGTGTGGGTCAGGATTTGTCTTCATTGTGAGGACCAAATGTCCATATAACAAGGATAATAAAACCTGAAATCAGCTACATAGTGAGGACCAGCTTACATACTGTATAAGTAGGCTAAATACGGTCCTAATGGTATGTAGATATGCAGAAATGTTGTAAGGGTTGTGTTTAGGGGCAAGGGATAGGAAATGCCATTTGCTGAGTATTTAAACCAATAAGAGAGTCCTCATATGACAGAGAGAAAAAAAACGTTTATCTCTGTTGATTATTTTAGTGTCTTGTGTATATATAAATTATTAGTAAAAGGGTTCCTTACCATATTCTGTAAAAATATATTTTACAAAAAAATACATGTAATTTTATTGTAAAGGTATGATTTCAATATATTTTCTACTATATATATATATATATATATATATGTGTGTGTGTGTGTGTGTGTGTGTATTTAAGACCATACATATACTTTTACAGTAAAATATATTGTTTATATTATTTTTTTTTAATTTGAGAAAACTATATTGTAAATATATATGTGACCCTGGACCACAAAAATAGCAATAGCTATTACATTTTATTCATATTAATACATTGTACGGGTCAAAATTATTTGATTTTTCTTTTCTGCCAAAAATCATTAGGTTATTAAGTAAAGATCATGTTCCATGAAGATATTTTGTAAATTTCCTACCATAAATATATCAAAACGTAATTTTTGATTAGTAATATGCTTTGAATATATTTTACAAAAAAATACATGTAATTTTATTGTAAAGGTATGATTTCAATATATTTTCTACTATATATATATATATATATATATATGTGTGTGTGTGTGTGTGTGTGTGTATTTAAGACCATACATATACTTTTACAGTAAAATATATTGTTTATATTATTTTTTTTTAATTTGAGAAAACTATATTGTAAATATATATGTGACCCTGGACCACAAAAATAGCAATAGCTATTACATTTTATTCATATTAATACATTGTACGGGTCAAAATTATTTGATTTTTCTTTTCTGCCAAAAATCATTAGGTTATTAAGTAAAGATCATGTTCCATGAAGATATTTTGTAAATTTCCTACCATAAATATATCAAAACGTAATTTTTGATTAGTAATATGCTTTGATAAGAACTGCATTTTGACAACTTTAAAAGCGATTTTCTCAATATTTAGATTTTTTTTTTGCACCCTCAGATTGCAGATTTTCAAATAGTTGTATCTCAGCCAAATATCGCCCTATCCTAACAAACCATAGATCAATGGCAAGCTTATTTATTCAGCTTTCAGATGATGTATACAGAAATCTTCCGAAAATTGACCCTTACTGGTTTTGTGGCCCAGGGTCACATACAGTGTATATACATTTAATAATTTCAGGTATCCAATCACTTTATGTACCAATCAATCAATCAATCACATGTACCACAAGAAAGTACTTATAAGTAAGCACGTATGCATTTTAGTTTTGGTCGTTTAGGGAACAATCTGCTAATTAAATGTTAAATTCTCCGTATCTGACTCACATGCCTTCACCGACAAATGCAGACCTAAAACTAACCGTGACCTTATTGAGCCTCATCAGCGTCAAACTACATGAGTGAAAGTCTCTCTTCTGTCATCCCATCCCCATTCAGCCAAATCACCGCAGTGCTGAAAGAGTGAGAGAGCGAGAGAGAGGGAGAGAACACGCGTGTGTGGAGTGTGTGTTAGTGTGTGAAAGAGCGAGTGAGGTAGAGAGAGAGGAAAACTGCAAAATCTGTCAAGGTTTCCAGGCGTTCGCTCATTCCTCTCGACGCCTGTGCAGCGCTGACTCGGGTCGCGTGCTGGACGGTGAGTGCTCGCGCTCTTCGTTCTTCATGCACGTTACCGTCGCCTTAGTGGCGCGTGATTACACAGCATAGTTTGAAGTCCGAGAGATCGATTCGTTCCGGTGCTTTCGAGCCAAGTATGACAGAATCAGTCAGTTCATATCTTATAGTCCTTGCATGTGAGTATATCGACTGCGGACCACGTAATATAGCTAGTGAAACGCTAATTTAATGTTGCTGTATTTATTTCTTTTTAATTATTTTAGATGTGAGTTTTGTATCGTCTATTTTTAGACTCCTAGTCAGGTAAGAGTATAGGCTCGTGTCGTGGCGGGACTGGTACTGTATGTGTCATGGATGTTGTACATTTCTCTAGTGCTGACTTTGGTAACGCCACGAGGAAAGAGTGTACTGCGGTTGTGGGGATTTGAGAAGGGGTAGTCACGCTGTTTGTGTGTGGGTCAGGATTTGTCTTCATTGTGAGGACCAAATGTCCATATAACAAGGATAATAAAACCTGAAATCAGCTACATAGTGAGGACCAGCTTACATACTGTATAAGTAGGCTAAATACGGTCCTAATGGTATGTAGATATGCAGAAATGTTGTAAGGGTTGTGTTTAGGGGCAAGGGATAGGAAATGCCATTTGCTGAGTATTTAAACCAATAAGAGAGTCCTCATATGACAGAGAGAAAAAAAACGTTTATCTCTGTTGTAGGGACCATAAGGACACAAGGATAATACAATCTGAAATCACCTACTTTGTGGGGTCCATCCAGCTGTTCTTATGAGGAAATGGCTTAATATGCTAAATAATGTAATAAAATAAAACTGCAGAGGACAGGAAATGTCATTACATCGATATATTAACAATAAAGGTTCTTTTTTGGAATCAATGGTTTCATGAAGAATTTTTAACATCCATGGAAACTTCTGATTCCACAAAAGGTTCTTTATAGTGGAAAAAGGCTCTTTAGATTTTTGAAATATTCTTCAGACTACGAAAAAATGGTTCTTTTATGAACTGATGACTGAAACATTCTTTGGGGAACTAAAATGGCTCTATGACATTGTTTGCATGCACGTCTGTCCTCTGAGATATTTTGGGCCAAGGTCTTTCTCCAGACTCTGTCCTTTTTTCCCTCTCATTCCTTTTGCTCTACTTGAATACCATCCTTTCACAAAGCAACCATCTCTCTGTTTTCTCTACTCATTTTCCTCCCACACTCTTCCCACTTGCCAGTTGGCCTAACCTGCTGACAAGGGAACATATTGCCATCTCAACAGAAAACTACACTCCCCTTGGGCTCTTGCTCCCCAGTCGAGTGGACACACCATCTGTGGAACCCCCAGTACACCACGAGGGCTGTCTTTCGAAATGTGGTCATGTCTGGTATATATTGAATGCCCTCTGATGTAAGACATATATTGCCCAAATCCCCTGGAAGATATAAAGGACGACTGGATATTGTTCTGTTGTGCTGTACGTCTAATAGGGGCTGATGTTTTAGATTGGTTGAGATATGTTATATTGTTTTTAATGGTCACAGCAGTGAGGGTTTTATTGAGTTTTACTGGACTGCCAGATTGTCAGCCCAATGTAGATTACAGCACTGTACAGTTACTTTACTTTCCTCATGGATGCTAGGGTGGGCTTAAAATTTTTTGATTACTTTTAGAATCCACATTTCTTTTTATTTCAGTTTATAAAAGAGGTTTTCTCTACAGTGGATTGACTACTTTTAATAGAGTGCATTTTTGTTACACATATATGTGATTTGGACAGGAATAAAATATTTCATACTTTGTATTTTCACAAATCGCGAAACCTCCAGAAACCCTTCTTGATCAAGATTACAGAGCTTTGGTGAGGGAACACAGGTCTGTGCATCGCCTGATTTCAGCACCACTGTGATGGACAGCTCCCAATTGCCTCACTATTTTCTCTCCCACCCTGTAGCCTTGATTCACTCTCTTTTATCTTTTTCTCTTTCATTGAGTGTCTTTCTACTCACTTCGCCCCTCACGGCTTTAAAAACGGGTTACATCTGGTACCTGCACATTTACATTTCAATAGCCATATCACATGACCAGCTGTTTCTGCAGTATGCACATATTGACCACTATGATTTATTCATGTATTTTTTTTTTTATCTGTTTAGTATGACCATATACTACTGGTACACTATTTGCACACTTAAACAGAGGTGCAAATGTTATCATTTTGTGCATACTTAGCATTAGGGATTTGAACAATTCCCTAACTCTGTTTTGACTAAATACATTTAATTTATTATTTTAAATTATATATATATATATATATAAAATAAATGAACTAATATATATATAATGTATATGTAAATAATTATATACCTGTGTGTATATATATATATATAAATCTTTTTTTTAATTAATGTCTAATTATTTACATTCTATTTTTAATTTTCTTTAACTTTTCTTTCTTTAATACTTATTTAACTCTAATAAATAAATAAAAATCCTACATTTTTAAATTGATATAATTTATATATCTATATTTGTTAAGATTATTTAAATGGCATTATTTAAATAAATTATTAAATTCAATTATTTTCACTTATTTTATTTTGAATATTTAAAATATTAAAATACTTTAGTTTTTTATAGAAATGAATCATATGATATAGATTGAGCAACAATTAAAAAAAATTTAAAAAAGCAATCAAGCAATGATTTTTGCTTGCTGGATGTTTTTTTGGACGACCAATCATCCAGCACACTCCAGACACATGCACATATTGCTCACATTTTCTTCATAAAATGTACTACTATTGCAATGCTGGTACCCAAAGTGCTAATGCTTTCTTCAGAGGAACTTCATTATTCACCATATTATCTTTCCCGAAGCCATTTTTCCTCACCTTTAACTTTCTTCAAAGCACCCCTTTTCTCCTCAGCTCTGCTCTGTCAATGCTCTGTGGATTATCTTGACCCGCACACATAAACCACCATTCACTATGTATCCTTCATTCATTTCAAGCACACCCTGGGGCTCCCGACACAAAGGATTTCACCAATAATAACCCATTATTGTGTTCTTCTCTCCCTGCCAAAAACCAAGCCCCCCAAAAAATTTTCTTCTAATCCACCAGCTATATGGTGCCATTCAGTGAATTAAGGGAATTGTGGGACTTCTGGAGGCATGCCAGTCAAATCCTCACTCGTGTTTCAGAGCGTGAGAGCAAAACGTGTAGCAATCCAGGAGGCATTACACGGCAAAAGCTTTCTGGTACACTTCACATTCTCTACATTTCTCGATTATTTTTTCTGATGGTCTCTTTCGGTGTTAACCTTCAAGCTTGGATGTTGATCTATTCAACAGATATACATTAGTGCAATAGGCAGCTGTGATGCTTACAAACATGGGTTCACCCTTGCCCTTTAACCTTAAAGGATGAATTTAGCTAGCGACAACTATTTATCAGAATGCAGACCTTTTAGGGACTAGTTGATTAATGGCCAACGTTGGCACAGTGGGTAGTGCACATGCTCACATGGGGTGCAGAATCCAGCTTGTATCCCAATCCCATTCTCCCTGCACTTTCCTGTCTATTCTGTCCTGTTCATTAGAGGCAAAAGCCATCAAATAAAATAACGAATGATTTATAGTGTCTTTAAGCCATCATGTAATTCTGAAGATATGTCTCACTTCATGCTTGCCCCTAATCATTTTAGTCATACACTATTTAAAGGACGCTGTTTGTCCTTCATCTGTTTGTTCTGTTGATGAGTCACACACTAGTTCAGTAGTCGATGGAGAGGAATTTTTCATCAAGCCCTTCAGGCACAGCTAATATAATCACTCCTGGCTTATAGTTGTTATAGTGCACTCTGGTTCCCTTAATTGGTCAATGGTTGATATCGAAAGAAAACCCAGTAAAGCAATTTTTGGGTTTTTCCACATGATTTTGCACAAATTAAGTACTGTGAGTATGAATCATTGGCAAATGGTTGTATCATCATGGGTACTTTTTTCCAGAAACACAAGTTGTTGAACAATTGCCGAATAAAACTAAGTAGAATTCTTTCTATTCATTTTGAATAGTTGCAAATATTTGTTTTTATAAACATAAGTTGTTTGACTCTACAAAAGGTAAGTAGCAACATTATTAAAAACAAATAGCAGTTCATTTATCTGCTCAGTTTCTCAGTTGCAACACCAAGCTCATCAGTTTCGTTTCTTAGGGAACACACTTAGAGATGGGGTAGAATTGCCTATGTAATTTTATGTGCTGTATTAACATGTTTATCTGTTTATTTGTTTGTATATTTATGCAATGAAATCTACATATTTCACCAAGGACATACACAATCATTTAAATGTTTGGGGTTGGTAAGTTTTATTTATTTATTTTTTTTATGAAATAAGTCTCTCACCAAGGCTGCGTTTATTTAATCAAAACACAGAAAAAACTGTAATGTTGTGAAACAATATTATTAATATTGTAAATAACTTTTATTTCGAATATATATTAAATTGTAAATTGCAAAGCTGAATTTTCAGCTGCCATTACTCAGTCTTCAGTGTCACATGATCCTTCAGAAATCATTCTAATATGTTGATTTGGTCATTTCTTATTATTATCAGAGTTTTATTTATATTATTATTAGAGTTAGCCTATATTATATTTTTGTTGAAACCAAGACACATTTATTTTCAGGATTTTTTATATGTATAATAGAAATCTTTTGTAACATTATAAATGTATTTAATGCCACTTTTGATCAATTGAATGCATCCTTGGTGAATAAAAATCTTACTGACTCTAAAATTTGAATATTAGTGCATCTAGAAACAGTCCAGAACACCCTTGCAACCACATAGCAGTTCCCTGGCAACCATCCACATTATATGAAATTATATTTTATTTATTTATGCATGTTCTTCTCTCCCGTCTTTCTAGATGAGTTCATTTAGCACCAGAGCGCTGACGCTCCTGTCGTCTGTGTTTGGGGCGTGCGGGTTACTCCTGGTGGGTGTGGCTGTGTCGACGGACTACTGGCTGTTAATGGAAGAAGGCATTGTCCTGCAGCAGAACCAGACCACAGAGGTGAAGATGGCTCTGCATTCTGGACTCTGGAGGGTGTGTTTTGTGGCTGGTAGGTCCCATTACTAGTGCTGCATTGTCTTCTATCGCTGATCAGTTTGTTGCTGAGACAGATGCCTGATTTAAAAAATCAAACGCCAGTTGATTGTGGCGTCACGCTGTTATGAATCGCTTTGTCTTGACTTTGACTCCTGCATCAGGTGTTACACACAGATCCACAGTTGAATCCCTGTGCATCTGTGTATGATCAGAAGACAGCGTCTTGGTTGAGTCGCGGCTTATTTGCGGGGTGTCCTGCTGTGTTATGCAGCTGGTCTTCTTTGTCCCTGCACTGCACTGGTGTGGCATCCTATTGCATCACCCTCCCAAATCATGCCAGACATTGAAACAGGAACTAGTGAGGGTGTGTGGGCAAACCACTGCGAGATGGCAAGTCAGTAACCACATCAAATTCGTATGTTAATAAAAGATGCAGTGAAACATGCATTTTTTGGTTTTGCTTATGGAAAAATGCATTTTATGTTGCTTTGCATTGCATGCTGGTTTGTTTTCATGACACTGACAGGAAGTGCTGAGGTGGACTGAAACGATGCCACACCAGTTGGCTGCGAATGGCTGACTAAGAGAAGTGTGAAGATGATGTCACCTTGTTTCTAGCTTAACCAGTCCTGCTATTTAGTTTGTCTGTATGTGGGAGTTTGACAAATCACTACAGGAAGACTCTTCGCCAGTTAGGTGTGTTGTATGTATAATTTGCACACTTTTCATGCGCTCCGGAGAGCATATGATTTATGTGTGCTCAAACAGGATCTAGTTTTTTATATGTGTGTGCCGAGAGGAAGGTCTAATGTGCCCTGCTTTCATGCACAATATGCAGAAGTGTCATGCACATTCAGATTTTTGATCTTAAAAGTATCTTGGAAAATTACATTTAGTAAAGTTTTAAAATTTAAATGACCATAGGTTAAAATATTTTGTCTAAAACAAGGGTTTTCAAAAGGGGAAGGAAGGGGGTGCTAGGACAGATGAACAATTTTGGGAATTTTTATTTATTTATTTCTTTTATTTTATTTTTTTACAAAAATAGATTTTAGACATCAAATTTTAGTATTTTAAATATGATTTAAATATGTTTAACATAATTATTAATTTATATTCACATTTGATATTTGATTATATTTTATTCTCCCTACTAGAGATGTATCAAAAGTCATGAACCTTCTGACAGTTTTTAGCAAAAAGACTAAACTCATCTTCATATAATTTTGTGAATTGTTTTAGTGTTTATCTCAGATATACAAAGCCCTTAAAGGGACAGGATGGAAAAAATAATGTGAGATGGAAAGAACTATTTTATTTAAATGTTTTTTTGCATTCTCTCACAAAAGTATTGCATCCCACCAAAAAACTCTGCATTCTTTTGCAAAACATTAGCGTTCTCTCGCAAAAATATTGTTCCCTCAAGATACTTTGCATTCACTTGCAAAAGTACTTTCAAAAATATTTTTTCCTCCCACCTCATATTATTTTCATCACAAATGTTTTGCGAGCTAATGCAAAGTTTCTTGCAGTAATACAAAAGTAAAGAAAAATAATGTGTGAGAAATATATAGTTCAGTCATGAGACTCTAGATGGTGCATTCTGACGGGGTGTTAACATAACTGATGATATTCAGAGAGTTAAATGACTTGGCACAAGCTGATTGGTTCATGCTGCATATGTAGCCAATGAGCTTACTGCCTTGCATTAAAGGGGTCCTATTATGCTTTTTCACTTTTTTATTTTAGTCAGTGTGTAGTGTGTATGTTTGGGCATAAAAAATATCTAGAAAGTTACAAATCTCAAAGTCCACTCCAAAGGGAGATATTTAGTTTTTTTTACATTTCAAATTTCCCTTTTCAAGAACTACAACGAACGGCTCGTTTGGACTACAGCGTTGGTTTCCGGGCTTTGTGATATCACAAAGCGGCTCATTAGAATATCATTAATAATCCCGCCTACAGAAATTCGAATGGTTGGGGGGTGGGGTGGGGCGAGGTTGTGGTTAGAACACTTGGTTGAGTGAGTGCATCAGACGAGACAATGAAGAAGAAGTGCTGCTGCAGAGTTAGTGCATCAGAGAAAACGAAGAAGAAGAGCTGCAGTGCTGTAGCGTCAAATTTTCGGCATGTCTAGAACAATTCTTACAAGTATAACACAACGTAGCTGGGTGCCGCGGACAGACACCGAACGGCGCCGCCGGTGTGCCTGCACTCATAGAAAATAATGTATTTGAATTTTAAAGACGTGGCGCGACGCGACGCTGTGCTTCTCGTCCGGTGTGCGAACGCCTGAAAAGCTGGTTTTTTTTCCACCTCCGTGCCCAAACGTCTTTGTTTGGGCTTCCGAAAATTGATGATGTCAGGAAACAGTGGTTGCAATTTATTTTTTAACTCTGTTTCTGAGCATTATAACCCCAATTTGTTATTGTGTGCTGCGCATTTTACTGAGGACAGCTTCCACAACACGAGGGAGTACAGTGCCGGATTCGCCCAAAAGCTTTTGTTGAAAGACGGAGCAAGGGGCGGGGCAGTACTGAAACACCGTCTAAGCTGTTCACCAATCACAACACACTGGGACAGCTAACCAATCACAACACATTTAGTTTTTCGGAAGGCGGACCTTCATCAAAGCCAGAACTAATCGAGCCATTTGTGCCAGGCTGGGGAGAAAGGTATTTTAATAATGTAAATTATGTGAAAAATAATGCTTTTTTTCGAACCACCAAGCATGAGAGCATATTCTAGTACAAGAGCATAATAGGACCCCTTTAATATGGATGACTAGCATTCACTAATCACGGCACCGTATCGCCGTGTGCATTGGCAGTAGCAGGTTCCTGTACTTGCTTGCAGCAGCAGCAATAATCTACAACTACAGCAATAACCAACAGCAGCAGCAATTCAGCAGCAGCAGCAGTGTAGCAGATCTATTCCGCCAAGACCAAATACATTAACATTGTCATATCCATCACCATGCTAAAATCTTCCGAGGGTTGTCATGATTGAACTAATGTTAAATACAAAATTTTGCAAAGTGTTGGAAAGAAGAATTTTCAGTCATTGAATTATATTCTGTAATTGCATATATGCAAAAACAAGCAAGTGAAAGCAAAAGCATTGAAATATAATTTTATCCTCCCATTTCATCTGTACAGGGGCTGCTGTAAACTTAATGAAAATAAAAATTTTAAGTATTTCTAATAATTTGTCAGTTATTTAATTTCATTGTCTTAATATCAACATTTTCCACACAAAATGCATACAATAAATGATTATAGTAGCCTTTATATTTCAGGAAGGGAGTCTTATGTTTGGGGGATCCTTAGCATCAAAAAGGAAAAAAAAGGATTCATATATATATACATACAGTATATACATCTCGCTTAGACAGGTCAGGACAACCACTGGTGCAAAAAAGAAACTAAAAAGCATGATGCTTCTGACTAAGTGCAGTGTATACGTGTAATGCATGTGAGTTTTCTCACCTCTCTTCTCAGTGTTTGAACCAAAATCATTGCTGTGTTTCTTTCTGTTTGTCCCGGTCTCCCCTACTGTCATTGTCAATCTCTGTCCCGGTCTGCCTCTACACTCTTTCTGTCTCTCTTTGTGTCCTTGTCTCTCTTTCTCTGTCTCTCTTTGTTCCCCTGTCTGTCTCTCTCTCTGTCTCTCCTTCTATCTCAGGACCAGAGAAGGGGAGATGTGTGGCATCTGAATACTTCATCGAGCCAGAAATAGAGATCACTACTGAGAACACAGCCAATATACTGAGTAAGAAAAATTTATGCACTTTATTGTATAATACAAATGGAAAAATCAAGGTGTAAGTAAATATTATATTATATTATATTATATTATTCATTTTCATGCAATCCTAGCATATTTTAGGTGCTGTGACTGCTGATGTGCTTGGAATTTTTTTTATCATTTCTAGTCTTTAGTCTTTTGTTGTGACAATCATTTTAATATGTACGATTTAAAGATATTCAATATAATATGACACTATAAAAATTACATGTATAATAATTGTACAAAAATATTTTTATATTATATTATATTATTATTTAAATATATAAATATATTACATATATATATATTACTATTTTTAGGTGCTGTAACTGATAATTTGCTTTAATTTTATAAGCGTTTTAATACAATTATTATTGTACAATTATTTATCAATACTAAAAAATAAAAAAATAAAAAGTTATAAATAGTTGCAGATGAAGCATGTCACCCTTGACTCAATGATTTTGAGGGACTATTTTTCTGTCTCTGTTAGAAATGGTTAGGACGGCCACCCCATTTCCTATGGTCTCACTCCTCTTTGTCTTCACGGCCTTTGTCATAAGCAACATCGGCCACATCCGTCCCCAGCGCACCATCCTGGCCTTCGTCTCTGGAATCTTCTTCATCTTATCAGGTAAGGTATATGGAAATATAATGTGTGAAAATCTGCTAAATAAGTTCTTGATTCTCATTATCATGTTTCTCATTTTTGCAGCCCATAGTTGTGTATCTGCTTACATACTCTAGATTAGATGCTCTTTGTTGATATCCAGTTTCAGTGGCGAGCCTGGTAATTCTCCACAACTGCGTCCGAAATCAGGCTTAGAATCCCACTGAGAGGCTTGCATATTTAATGAATGGTGTTCCCGATTTCCATCTATGGTAATGTGTGGGACACAATATCCATTAAATGCTCCTTTTTTCTCACAAATGGTAATTAATAACAGCGGTCTCTCTGATCAAGTCAACAGAGCTCTACCTAACAGCTGTCATTTGCATTCGGCTAACAGAAACAGATTGTCAAGAATGTCAAAGTGTGTTTAGATTTGACTAATTTGCATGCAAAGTATGTCTTAAAACAGATCTGGTGTGCATGAATGTTCTCAAAGAAATCTTGAAGCATTAGACTAAATACATAAAAGATATGTAGGGCTGCATTGATACCAAAATAATAATGCAGTTTAATTGCTAATTTTCTCAAGGTGTACCAGTACAGTACGTTCAGACTGAACCGCAGAGCTGTGAATTTCACAATACTCCGTGTGGCTTGAAGACAGCGATGTGGCAGAACTATATCAGTTGATTCTATCAGTTTCCTGCTGACAGCTGTACAAATCAGCCTGCAGGAACAGATTTCCCATGAAGGTTTAGAAAGCTTGTGTTTGAACAGTTCTAGAATGCTGGAACAGGACGAGTTTTAAACAGCACTCTGGAATATTTCATTCTGATTGCAGAATGCTGAATTCAGTCATATAGTTTTATATAATTCTCACTCATCTGTGCAACTGATCATTGTCTCATAGTTGTGTTTCATGTCTCTTGTATCATGCCAGTCTCCTCAAATAATAATATCAACTCCATACAGGATACAACAGTGGTTCGCAACATTTTTGACTTCCTATAGCTATGATATTTCCTTTGTATGTCTGCTGATTATAAGGTTTATAAAGTCAATCAATCAATCAATCAATCAATCAAGTTATAAAGAAGGTATTTCAAGTTTTAAAAAGTTAAAACCCTAATTGAGAACCACTTGGACATTGAAAAAAAAATAGAAAGAAAGGAATACTTTTATTCAGCAAGAATGCATTAAATTGATCAAAAGTGACAGTAAAGGCATTTATAATGTTACAAAAGAATGATATGTCAAATAAATGCTGTTCTTTTGAACTTTAGTTCACAGTTTCCAAACACTGTTTTCAATATTGATAATAATATTTATTGAGCACAAAATTAGCACATTAAAATTATTTCTAAAGGATCATGTGACACTGAAGACTGGTATAAGGGCTGCTGAAAATTCAGTTTTGCCATTACAGGAATAAACAACATTTTAAAATATATTAAAATAGAAAATATCTATTTTAAATTGTAATAATATTAACAATTTTACACTGTATTACTGCAATATTAAACAATATTTCTGCATTTGTGATCAAATAAATGCTACAGTAGTGTGAAATATATAAATTATCGTTGTCCCAGGTAACTGATTTCCTATGTCTTTGTTAATTTAATTGATCTCGTATCACTCAATTTTCAATCTTCTCGCATGATACAATAATTTCAAATCAATAATTTTGAGTTTAAATTGCTATATTTACAATACAGCATAGACTCGCATAACTTATTGCTTAATTGCAGCACTTGATTTGCACTTCTACGTGAGACCATTTACACTCCAATCAAAACAATCAACATTTGCTAATTAGAATACAGTAAATCATTGAGTGGCTGTTAAAATCTAATTTGCCTCACTGTCTTCATTAGATGCCAGGAAATGAACAAAGAGGCAAAAGCAAGGAGTCAGCAGCAGTGGGGGAGTCGAGAATCAGCAAAGCCCCTCAATCGTTTGCACAGAGCCAGGTCAACATGTCCCATGCATTGCAGCCGATGCGGCTCTAAAGCACGCACTACTGCAGTTTAATAATAATGGATTCTGTAGTACGACTGCAGATTCCTGTGGCAGCACCGGCAGCTGTCCAGCGCTGTGCTGTGTAGCGCTGCATCAGGTGCTAATGTTACATTCAGCTCAGCATTTTGTACTACAGAATTATTAATAAAGCACAAGACACCACAACAGCGCTGTTGCAAAATGCTGAACACAGACATGCACAACACTGCAAAAAAACACAACCGCAGTCTGTAATGTTCTAAACTGTAGTATACAGTAGTTTACTATGGTATAGAAGCAGGTAGATCCAGTCTTCAAGTATCCTACTTGTGCTTGGTTGTTTGGGAATATATGCCCTAGTGTGACACAGCAGTTTAATATCCAATGTCTTGCATTTCTAATGCGAAAAGTAAATATGTAAGCACATTCCTTGTCGGTATTCGCAGCATAGACAGCTGGCAGTGACAGACTGCGATAATGTGTTTGATTATGCCAGAGGCTTTCCTTACCGCTGTTTCCCCCTCTCTCTTTTTTTCCCCTGCACTCCACAATTACCGCAGCAGAGCTTTCTCCATCATAACACAGCAACATTTGAGCACGCTATAAATGTTAATGTTTCCCGGTATGACAGGTTGCGTGTTGGTGTGCTACTCTATCGTTCCCTCTCCACACCGAGCTTTCAGAAGAAAACAATGTTGACTGTTATAGTAGCGTAATAGGAAATCACTGCGGCATCAACTGTACTTTCATCTAGATGTTTACAAGGCATATTTGTTTCTTTCATTTGTCATTTTCATTGAATGCTTTTAGGCTCCTTTGTGTGCATATAATAGTTTCCCCCTTTACTAATGTGAAAGTGATACCACAAATTATGTGATTTGTTAAAAAAAAAAAGTGTGCTATTAATTGATCGATGGAAAGATTTTAGTGTGAAGGATGACCAAAAAAAAAAAACACACACATTAGAAACCGCATACTGTCGCAAAGTCCTGGCTGCTGTACACAACACCTTTACGCAACATTTATACAAGCTCTACTCACATTTTCTGAATAAAAATCAATGTACTATTGCATTGCTACTATTTCCCAAAGACTTTTCTCCTAGTAAACCAGTAAGTAACCACCTAGCAACCACATAGTTATCACCCATGCAACCACAGTACAATGCACAAACTACTATTTATAACACCTTAGTAGCCACAAATTTTGCATTGGCAAGCTCACATTTTCTTTAGATAATGTTTCTTGCAATCAACCAATCAATCAATCAATATAAATGTAATTAAACAAGCATAAACCAGGTTTTATAGTGGTTTACAGCAATGTTCAGCTGGTCAGGCTGAAAGTCAGACTGGAAAACCATCTTAAACAAGCTTAGACCAGTTTAAACCATCTAAGACCAGAGCCTGGTCAGGCTGGACTTTTGCCTGGTTTTAGAGGTTTTCATCGGGTCAGACTAGGAGTTCAGCAAAACTGGCCAGGCGAAAACCATCTTAAAACCCTCATCCGTCCCTCGGGTCATTTTGACCCAAAACTCATTTTAAAGGGGTCATTTGATGCTTTTTAAAAGATTATTATTTTGTGTATTTGGTGTAACAGAATATGTTGACATGCATGCTGGAAAAGCATGTAATTTATGAAAAAAACTGCAAATTTTTTTAATTTAATTTTGTCACACTTGAGCATGGATCACACACAAAAAAGTTTGAGTTGATTCGAGGATTCTATGTGTAATAAAATAAGGTGTAATAAAAAAAGTAACAAAAGTGTCCCTCGCGGGTCATTTTGACCCAGCCATAGGAATTAATGGAATGTCCGGAAAAAAAGGCAGCATTTTTTAATTTGATTTTTTTTTACTATATAAAATCTGACACAATCCAGAAAAGATGCATACCCAAACAAAGGGCTGAGACTGCAGAATGTCCCCAATGCACAAAAAACTCACATACCCCCACACACAGGCACACACACACACACACACACACACACACATGGCACACACACTCCCATTGAAACACATTATAGGATTTATGATGTTTTTGCAGGGAAATGTCTGTCATTTTGAATTTTTTTTTACTTAACAGTTACATTTGAGTGATGGTGTGGAGACCAATGAGTTTATATCATATTTATATTTTTTAAATGTATCTTTTATATTTATTACATATTTATGAAACTGTATGAATATAAATGTGTTTGGATTAAAATTCAGTATAAATGTTTTTTTGTTGGTTTTTTTGTACAAAATATAGTTTTTTTGTAATGTTTTGATATATATCTGAAAGCCTTGAGATATATCTGAAAGCTTAATGAAGTCTCAAGTAGTTTTAAAGATTTCACTTGTTTGGCTCATTTAAGAATCTCCATAGGATTCAATAGGCCCCTTTAGTGGCTGTAATCATAAAATGCAATTTTATGTAATTTTTCCCCACCAGATGGCATCAGAGACACTCAGTGACCTAGGTCCTGATGGATCATCAGGTTTAAAGTATAAATATGCAGAAACGGTCTTTCTTTGTTTTGTTTTTTTGGTGAAAAAAATTTATAAAAAGATGCTCATTTTCATAAAAATATCCAGAATTTAATGTGAATAAAATAAAAATCACCAAAAAATAATTAAAAATTTTTTTTTGGCCTTCGGGCCATTTTGACCCGAGAGGGACACTTTTGTTATAGGTTCGGGAGGGACGGATGAGGGTTAAACCTTGTACTGTGCTGAAAATTCTTTATTTAATTTGCTGTTTCTAGTCAAAAATGACTGGCCTTTCTTGTAAATTTCTTGTAAATCCCTTATAATTAATAAACTGGCTGATTGTTTATGCATCTCAGTTTTTGAACTTTTTTCACTTAAAAACTGAGATGCACAAGCTCAGATTAGTGATGCCTGTGATCAGTAAGTTCCAAAAAGAAATACAAAACCTAATGATAACTAAAAGAAAACAAGCTGACAAAAAGATTGAATCAAAGATAATAATATAGCATATAGAAGAGTGGATGGTGTGAGGATAGGAAGAGGAGGAGGAGGAGGAAGCAGGTGGGAGGTGATAGCTGGCCCCGGACGAGGGACGAGCATATTTTTATGAAAATGAGCGTATTTTTCCTATTTTATTCTCTCTCAGGTTTGAGTTTAGTTGTCGGTCTGGTGTTGTATATCTCCAGTATCAATGATGAAGTGATGAACAGGCCTCGGGAGCCGGAGCAGTTCTTTCACTACCACTACGGCTGGTCGTTTGCCTTTGCTGCCAGCTCCTTCCTGCTCAAAGAGGTCAGTCACAGAGCCCAGCGACTGTTAACACTCGAGCTGACTGCGTGTGTACTCTTATCACAGAGCTCAGTTCATTAATATGCAGCTGTGTTAACAGCTTTCACTGCTGTTAGCTGCTAAACCAATAGGTCTGCCCTCATCAGTATGCATTAATTTTAGCCTAGCTTTTGCTGGGGTGAAGGCTACACATTTCCGTTATGCTGCATATATGCTAATTAAGTTCAGTGCAGCAATTTGTAAATGTCAGCATCTACTGTCTGCAGTAACCTCAACTTATATTCTTATGATATATATATGCATACAGTAGAGTCCAAAAGTCTGAGATCATACATAAAAAACTGAAAATCTAATTTAAGCCCGGAAATAGACAAAGTTTTAGGATTAAATTAGTAGTCTTTCGAACTTCTGCCAATTTTGTCATTCAAAAGTTTGGGGTTAATAAGATTTTGAAATGTTTTTGAAAGAAGTCTCTAATGCTCTTCAAAGCTGGATTTATTTGATCAACAATACTGATCAACAACAAAATAATTCATATTGTGAAATTTTATTACAATTTAAAATAACAGTTTTCTATTTTAATATATTTTTCTATTTTAAGAGATTAAATGTAATTTATTCCTGTGATGGTAAAGCTGGATTTTTTTAGCACCCATTACTTTTTTTAGGATTCTTTGTTAAATATGCGTTTATATGAAAAATAAAAGCTTTTTATAACAGTTTATTCCATCAAACTACACAAATACGTTACATTTGAATGGCTGTCAATGCAAAAAATATGCTTTTTGTCCCCAGATGGTGTAGTTACAGCTAACTGGGTCATGCTAACCAGCCAAACTTGACCCCTTGGGCAGAGAGAATTTCTAATTGGCTAGTTTTTGGCTAAAAAAAACACAAGCTCAACCCCTGACACGTTTTTGTATTTTTTTGCATAGGAATGTCAAAGAGAAAAGAGAAAGTTCCTGTTAGGTTCTGTTAGACTGTAGGAACATTTTATCTGAGACACTTGATTTTGAATTTAAAGAGATAATTCACTCAAAAATTAAAATAATGTCATTAATTATTCACCCTCATGTCGTTCCAAACCTGTAAGGCCTTTGTTCATCTTCAGAACACAAATTAAGATATTCTTGATAAAATCCAAGACCCTGCATGCGTCATGGTACTGTCGTGAACGCACGTCGAAGTCTGACACGGAAGAGAAGAACTGTTGAATACAAAAAGTATTCTCGTAGCTTCATACCATTACAGTTGAACCACTGATGTCACATGGGACTATTTTAACAATGTCCTTACTACCTTTCTGGGCCTTGAACATGGTAGTTCCCTTGCTGTCTGTGGAGGGTCAGAGAGCTCTCGGATTTCATCAAAAATATCTTAATTTGTGTTCTGAAGATGACATGAGGGTGAGTAATTAATGACAGAATTTTCATTTTTGGGTGAACTAACCCTGTAAACTGAATAATGTTGGTTGACTAGTTTTGTTGTATCAGGGTGCTGGAGTCATGTCTGTCTATCTCTTCATGAAACGTTATGCTGAGGAAGAGATGTACCGGCCCCACCCTGCGCTGTATCGCCCTCGCCTGTCTGAATGCAGCGACTACAGCGGTCAGTACCTGCACCCCGACTCCTGGCCTCCTCCTCAGCGTGGACGCAGTGGCTCCGAGGTGTCCAGCGACATCTCCATTCAGCTCAACCAGACCCCGCTTCCTCCTCTGCCAAAAAGCGGTGGGCCCTCCAATCCACGCTCTTCCTCGGGCCCCTCGTCCGGGGCCAGCTATCACCTCCCACCTGCTTCCTCCTCCTCCTCCTCTTCCTATCCTCACACCATCCACTCCTCCCATTCCGTCGGCCACGCCCCTCAGTCCCTCCCAATGGCCACGCCCCCATCTGCAGTCCCGCCCCCTCGCTACCATGCGCATATGCGTATGAGCGCCTCCCCTTGTTAGATTTCCTCTGTTTAAGATACTTAAACAACTGAAATATGGGCATAACATTAGACAAGAGGATAAATCTCCAGAGACTATGGGATCAAAAGGGTGCTAAGTTGAAAAGAGGTAGACGAGGAAGCGCTTCACTTACAATTCTGTGCCTGAATGAAGTTTAACAGATTCTCAGAGCAAGATTAATAAGTGAAGGAATAGCATTTATACATATAGAAAGAATGTATGGAGAAGAAAGGTACAAAATACTGACTTGCTGAAAATAGTTGAAAACAACTGTATACATATTTAAATTTCTATGTAAAATGTTTAAATCTTATTGCACACCATAACCTTTTTCATCCCCTCATACCTCATATATCATGAGCACCATGAGGCTATTTATACCATTTCTTGTTTATACTAAAGCAAAAAGACACGAATGTGCCCTAAAGGGGGCGGATTTCTTTAAATGGTGTCGCAGATTTATTTCAGCGGACAATTTCTGTACACAGTGTATCAAGAGCAGTAGTCATCTAGTGTAGTCCAACATATTTGCCTACACGTTTTATCATGTGGGCAAAGAAAACTTTAGATGCAGGGGGTTCGATTTGTCCTTTACTATCAATTTGTAATGTTTTTAGATTTGTACATCAGGGTAGATGTTCTACAAAGCTGGCTGATGTTTCTTTACTGGGATGTTGTACGCTTGGCCCCATGGCCCTCAATATGCCTTGTGTTTTCTTGTGCTCTCATATTCAAAAAAATAATGTTTTAAAAACATTTAGCAGTGGTATAGCACGATACAAAAAGGAAACGTTTGAAAATGTTTAACATATTTACCTTAACCTAGAATGGAGGCTGACTCCTGTATGAATTCACTGTTCAATCATCATCTTAAAATTGCAGCCGTTCTCGTTTATTATTGATATTATTACTACGACTATTAATTGAGTTGTTTATTATACAAAATTGATTGTAAACCTGCGTATGTGTTATAACGGAAGCTGTTGTACATCAGCCCTGCAGTGTTTCAGCGATCATGTTTTAGAGTAATATGGGTTAATGAAAAATAACAGAAATCAACATGAGGGAGAATTTAGAACTAAACTATGTGCTTGAGAGCTCCTGGTGTATTGCGCCATCTACTGGTCATGCAGTATTAGTGCATTAAAGCACTGAAGTACCTTGTCTGAACCACAAGTTGTATGAAATCTGTATTCGATTCATTGACTAAAATGAGGCAGATGAGTCAGCACTTCCATATACCTGGTGCCTGCGGATGCTGCATCGATTGAGCAATGCAGTAAAGACAATTTGTACAGTATGATTATTATACCAATAAATCAGTCCCTTTTCCTAATGCATAAACGTTGACCTTTGTAGAAAAATATCCTTTAATATATATTAGCTAATAGATATTATTATAACGGCCTGTTATGCCCTTAAGACTAAAATTTTAATGCATAGAAGCTTGAGATATTTTCCAGAGTGTTATAACTGAGAGTTCATTATTGTGTGTAAATATTACGATCATAAATATTTATGAAATAGGAATAGTCATGAAGAACAGGACTGGCTCCTGCTGGATAGTAAAGAAATACATAGTATAACAATTTATATTATAGCCATATTACAAGGGAAATATGCAGAATTGAAGGTATGATTTATGGGAAATGAAAAGAGCAAGAGGAATGATTTTTGAATCCTAATATTTATTCAAGTATTGCTGGTGGTACAAATTTAGTCTGCTTTTAAGTCTGAAATGTGAATATCTGTTTGTTTCTTGTCTTTTACTAATAATTGCGTTATAATGAGCTTTCTGCTCTCTCAGTTCCAGTTGACATTTGTTGTTGTTGCGCTCTATGCTGAGGGTCTGGCTTATAAATATGTATGTACCATTTTGCATGACTTTTTTTTTTTTTATCTTCATACCCTTTTCCTCTCAATCGTTTTTTTTTTTTTTGCTTTTTCCCAGTGGGCTGTCCTTTGTCTTGATTTGTCTCTCTCAAAGTCCCATTAAGCTGAAGCTGCCTCACTCATTTGACTTGTCTTTTCCTCTTTTACCCTTCATTTCTCTCTCTTCTCTCTCTCAGCCTTCCCGTCTTTACTTTTCTGTTTTCAGTTATCAGTTTTGCATGCCTTTCATTCCATAATGCCAAAGCAATTGTGCCTGACTTAAGATGATGATGACGACAGTTATTACTATTATTATTATTATTAAAACTGTGGCATTTCTTCTTTGTAATCTGGAATTTGCTTAATAAAAAATTAAGAAACTAAAACAAATTGCACATCAAATGACTCGTGTTTTATGTCCAGTGCATTTCTAATACTTTTCTAATACATTTCTAATGCATTTCTAATATTTACTACATACTGTATGCTTGTACTTTAATTTGATATTTAAATGTAGGACAAAAATACTAGAATGGTTATTACATGATATGCCATCATGTTTTAATTTAAAAACGTAACTTTAAACTTAAGCCTACATTACAGAGAACTGCTTTTTCTGGTTATGCTTTATTTTATCACAGTGTACTTATACATTGAAGTACTGAGCAATATTAATTAACTACTTTTACTTACTATATGGTTAGGGTTTAGATGAGGGTTTAGGCCGGGTTAGTTGTATGTCATTATGCATAATTTATTGTTATTACTATGTACATGTAGCATAACATAAGAAGTTTTTTGTGCAGGCAGTGAAAACTGCTATATATTTTTTCTTCTTTAAAATAAGGATGTGTAAAAATAAGTCTAGGTCACATTTTACCCCAAAATAATAATAATACCCCCACCCCCCCCCCCCCCCCCCAC